AAAGTCAGAATTCTGACTTTTTTACCATACTAAACTGAATTTTTTTTTTTTAAATCATTTACCCTTTTTTTTTTCAGTGGCCCTAATCCTCTTCCGTAGTATATTGTGTGTGTGAATATTGGATAAAAAATATAGAGGTTTAACAGGAAGGTTACTCTACTTTAAGTCAATTTAAGTGCAATTAGAGGGAGAGGGGGTATAAAGTAAAAATAAGTGTTACTTCATCAATTTGGTGGAGGGTTTGGTTTCTATATGTTCAGGTTAGTTTGGAAATTTTTTCAGTTTGGTTTGGTTGATGTTATCTAGTCTCTTTGTGTGTATTTGGTTGATTCATTTATTGTTGTTCGTCAAACTCTCTGAAATAAATTCCTATTCACTCATTAGACTTAGACAGACCTCGACAGATTTTATTTTGTCATTTTGTACACACAGGTATAAACAAAAAGAAATTCGTTACATACAGCTCTCTGGACTATTTCACTTTTTTTTAAAGTGCAGCCTTGATAAGATAAGCAGCAGTGATAAAAACATTGTGATAAAAAAAGGATGTAAACATATGACTGTATAGTAACAGTTCCAACATTCAGTTTTTTGTTTTTTCATTCATTCATTCATTCATTCATTTGTACACAATTTGTTCTAAAACTATTGGTTCACTTCTGCTCTAAAACTTTGCAACGTCTAAAACACTTCGCTAATCCCTAAAGAGAGATTAAATGTTACTGAAGCTCTTACAAGGTTTTATTCTTGGAGAAGTTGCAGATGATTCTGGCTACAGGCAGGAAGAGCCTCCTGTAGTGGTCTGTGTTCCAGCATATCTAAAGAAAACTCTGACTGGCGACACCCTGTTGTTGTCTATCAACAATAAACCAGGGGCTGAATAAAATATAAATCCTGACAGAACTGCTAGTTTAAAAATGTTGCCTCTAAGTTTTTTAATTAAAAATAAAATATGCACATGAATAAATTCAGGACTTCTGTAGAAATAATTTGGTGAATAAGTGGTTCTGATATAATCAATTCTTGCATAATGGGAACAGACAGAGTGATCAAACCAGAGTCCTGGTTGTCCTGTCCTGCTCTAACAGATGTGTGCTAACTTTTTAAACCCTCCTCACAGCAGTTGTCATAAAACTCACACACAAACATGACAGAGAGAAATATTAATTTTTGAGCCCCTGATATCCAAAAGAGCCTAGCTTTCATTTCAGAGGCGCTGCATTCGAAGCAAATCTTAAACTTCCAACTGGACTTTTTTATAGTCAATGATGATTTATCACAAACTATACAGCGGATTCACCAGATTCCTGGATATGCATGGACTTTATATCATCTGTGTGCAAAAAATGTTACACAAACTACAGAAACAGACCACATTACAGTGTTTTATTGTTTACAGTCTGCACTCATATGAAAGATACAAATATAACAGTCATTCCCCGCAGGAGTTTAGGGCTCAGTTCCCCAAAGTTGGAGTTTTTCTAACAGACACAGCTCAGACTGAAGTGCATGCGCTGAATTTTTTTTATTTATTTTTTTTATTATAAAACTTCACATATTAAGCAGCTTATAAAATGTAAAAAGGAAAATGAATTGCTTCTATCTGAGCATCAGCTGAAAAACGGTCAGTTGCATGGGCAGCTGATTTTCATTGATTTAAGGAGGTAAGACAATTTGCAGATAGAATAAGATGAAAAAACAATCCCCATTATCTTATTTCAACTCCATAATGTTTAAGTTAGCTTTCTTGATGTTTTTTTCTTGCGGGCTGATTGGTTCCAGCTTGTACTCCTTGTTGGCATCAGCGCGGTAATTTATATTGGATCAGTTTCCTAAAGCAAGCTGCCAGTTGGTTCCGCTCTCTAAGTGGTAAACAGTTCAAACTCAGGTAGTGATCTAAGCTTCCAGTGAGTCCTCCTAACTCTTCCTTGCTCTCGTTCTCTCCTCCACAGAACCAGACCCGAACCTCAACTGGATCAATCCCGCTTCTTCCATCTCCTTGCTACTCCTGAACTCTCTCCTCTCGGGTTGACTCTTTACAGGATCCACCAGCCTGCCTGTCCACCCTCCATCCAGCACAAGACCATCCACTGGAAAAGAGACCCAGACAACATGGGATCTCTTTCACTGCTTCAGCCCGTCCCGGTCCTCTCCCCTGGTCAACGGTCTGCAGCCTTCTCGATCAATTCTGTGAATAACCCTTCTAACTCTGCTTTTGTGTCCGTAGTTGTCCCTGCTTAAGAGTTTCTGGTTCAAGCAGCATGTCAGTTTAATAATCCTATTTTAAGAGGAGAAATAATCATTCTCTTGGCAGATCATCTTGTTTACCTGCTCAAAGAAAGGGCAGATTAACTTATTTTAACAATATTTTTTTTTATCTGTTTAGGTCAGTTTTTGCAGTGTAATTCTGAATCAATTTCTTGTGATATGTGATGACAGAAGACAGTTACTGAGTCTTGGCTTAGAGGCTCAATTAACACACTGAGCACTGTGCTCTTGCCCTACTTTTCTTTTTTATGTGTCTCTGCCTGTTATTCTTTTGTTCTGGGGCCTCCATGAACAAACATAGGCCCCAACCCGGCCCCCCGGTATAATTGGCCTACAGTAGAACTGCCACTGGCCAAATAAGATTAAGAATATGTGACTCTTTTTATCCTGAAATTGATCAGAGGTGTCAAAAGTACTTACATTATATACTTAAAAAAAAATGCAGGTTCTATACTGAAGATTATTTGCCTTAAAAAAGTAATGATTCTATTTCTAAAAGTTTTTTTATTAACAATAAATAGATTTAGGATTTTTATTTATTCAATTTGTTAGTGAAAAAAACAAAAATACTGACTTTGTTTATTTTTTTAAATGTTTAAAATTTCAGACCAGATACTATAGATGAAACTGAATACAAGTCCTGTATGAGCGGCTGAAAACTATTTAGAGAGTTTTGGTATTCACAACCAAAAGTTACACACAGAATTATAATAAAACTTGATCAAGATGAACATTTAAGCTCTGATAAAGGGGGGATTGATTGGGATGTTTCCACCCCCCCAACACCTGCATCCATGTCACTATCAGGAGTTTTTCTATCAACAAATTGGGCTCCAACTGGACAGATTCTCTTTGCAATCTTGATTTTCTCTGTTTTTCTTTTGAATTATGTAGGTAAGAAAGCAGCCTAAAGAAAATAATGGGTAGAAAGTTGTTGCGATACATTGTCGCAGAACAATGGTGTAGGTTTTAAAAGAGCTAGCTTCCCATATTAGCATTCCATTTTGCCGGTGGCTTTGGGCCACTAAAAGGCAACGTGCTTCTTGCTGAAGGCTACGCCACGTAGCAACCATATCCCTATGGAGAAATCTGCGCCTGCTGGACTGAGTCAGACTGCCTTTTTCCTGCGATTACTGCGATTTCTTTTTCCTGCTGCAGCAGAGACAGAAGAGCTAATCCAGCACTGCTACTCGTCGAACAATGGGGGCCCCGATCGCTGTTCGCCAAAGGAGCCTTAAGAAGCCCCCGGACCGTGAACGCCTGATACGGAGCAGCGGCGAAGAAGTGCTGCGGCTACAAGCTAACCATTGTTGCTAAAGAGGGAGAGGTCCTGTGCTATGATGAGTTATAAAATTAACCCCCTTGCAAATTGCTTCTTATTGCTGCATCGGGTTGATCCAAATCTCTTTGAGTTGCTGTTGGACAAACGGACTGGACCGAAGATGGGCCTGCAGAAACCGGACCGAGCTGAAGGCCTTCCCTCCACCGAACCAAAAACAGTAACTGCATCCTTCCCCCTCCTCCCCCCTCCTTTCCATCTGATGCTCTGCTTGGGTGAACTAAATGTAGAATAGATAATTGTGTTGGTGTTTTTATTTGAAATAAGCTTTCTGATTAAACTTCTGATGGTTTTTAAAGGTTTCACTGAATGCTCATGCTCACTACAGACCAAACGAGTCAAATGTTGCTGAAGCTAACTGCTACATCGTGAGCTTATTCTCTCTTTGTTTCAGTTGGACCCGACCAGAACCAGAACCCCTGGAGCCAGCTAAGCTAACAGGTCTTTTAGCCTCATCATAGTTGAATGCATTCCTGAGTCATTAATAAATTTTCCACCATAAACTGAATGAAATTTCACTGTTTTGACTGCGGTTAACATCTCTGCATTAGGGTTTATTCACATTTCATCTGCTGCTATTATAAAAGACACTTTTAAATGCATTAAGCCTTAAACTTTGAACATCACAACATCTGATTTTGAAGAGACTTTTAAACCCCTCTTCCCCTCTTACTACTTTAATTTTGCTTATTTTCAGTAGTGTTTAGTGTTTTGCTTAGTTATTAGATATAATACTGTGATGGTAGCTAATAAAGTTACCATTGTATTTTAACTTGTGGTCTTTTGTGTTCATTTTACACAGTGAACGATTTATCACTCAGGTTGGATTCACTTTTCTTTCAGTAGCATCTGAATGAACAGAGACACATTTGGCTGGTGGATAATAACGTTGCAAAGAGCCATAGCCTAAATTATCAAATTTGTTAAAGACAACTGGATTTTTAACAGCTGGATTCAGGAGTCCAACCTTTTAGGAAAGGGGCTAAAACCCTAGTCAGTAAGCAAATTACAGTTATAATCATTCAACTGATAATAAATAACTAGTTTTACCATTAATAAAATTAACCCTATTGACCAACTTCCAGTTCTAGTTATTTCATATATATTTATAATTTTCTGGTAAGCTGGCATCACAAAGTAAAAAGTCACAAAGTAAAAATACCAACAAAAAAGCTACTGAAGTACAGCAACTACATATTTTTACTTAATGACTTGACATCTGTGAAATGTTGTCTGTGCATCTCAATAACCAAAAACAAAAATATGATTGTTTCAGTGCAGCCCGTGAAATGGCTGTGTCCTCCCTCTCTGTCACTTCACACATACCATGTCAAAGACGCACACGGAAAACGACCGAGTCAGCTGTGCAGCTATTAAAAGACTCCAAATACCAAAGTATTGCTATGGGAGCCTGGCCAGTTGTCAGGTTGGAGGATCTCCGCTGAGGCGTACAGCTCCAGCTCCTCAGGAGAGGCGTTAAAGCTGACTACCTGCAGAGGACTGAGAAACAGTGAGTGGGATCCTGCTAACTCATATCCTATAGCCAGGCTCTTAGTTATGATTTTATCTGATTAATGAAGGTGTTATCAGTTTAAATGAAAGCTAAAAGCATAACAGGGATGACAATATAGAAAAGACAATATAGGATAGCACTCTGACTTTACTCCTAATCATGCTGTTAAATAGTAAGTTCAGTATTCAGTGACATTGAGAAGTTCAGTATCTATTTTAGTGCCAGTTTATATATAGAAGCCTTAACTTGAATAAACAGCTGGTGCTTGGCAGCGTAACACAAACTGAAATCATGTTACATGTTGGTTTTATAGTGTTAGATGAGACAAATCTGCCCAGTGAAGAAAGGACCCTAAGTTGGTGAATGAACTCTGGTTCGGAGCAGCATATCCGTCACACATACCTGCTTCAGTACTTTGGAGTCTTGCTGTTGATTCTTTGGAGGTTTTATAGCTACAGGTTTATGGCTTTTATGTCAAAAATAATCAAACCTCAAAGATAATCAACCTTTCGTGTTCATTGTATAGTACTTTACTGGTGGTGTTTACTTCATGTGATAAACCAATGCAGGGAAGTTCAGAAAATATGCAGAGTGTTCAAAATGTGAAAAATAAATATCTGAGAAAGATTTGCATTCGATTCAGTCCCCCAAGTCTGCAGAACCAGGTTTTACTGAACTGATTGCTGCGGTTCTTTTGGGCTTGGCTTCTACCTGCTTTGAACATCTAGAAGCGGAAAATTTCACACTTATATTTCCAAATATACCAAGTCCACTCAGACTTATATCTTAATCAATATTTGGAGATACAATAAATTAAATTGTATCACAATCTAGATTTGGCATAGAGGACATAGAAGAACACGCTTAGATCCAAACCATTCTGTTGTGGCCCTCATATGTGTCCTTCAGGATGGTTAACCTTCCACCAAGGCCCTCATAGCCTCTTACTGGTTTTCTTAGAGGCTTTGTCTTTATTTTCTTTCATCTGCCTTCTCATCCAGTCTGCTTCTTCTTCTTCCCTGCTGAAAAAAATCTACCTCCATAACACGATGCCTCCACTGCCCTGGTGAAATGAGTATTGTATGTAAGCCAAAAATTTTAATGTTAGTCTCATTTGACCAGAGCATCTTATTCCAAGTGTCTAACTTAGGCAAACCTCTGAGGCTTTTACTTGGCGGCTGGATCTTTACCAAGATAAAATTACTTAAAGGTAGACTGATAAAGCCTGTTTTGTTTTCCTTCAACTTAATGTGAAAGAAAAATTAGTTTTTTTTCTGTTTTCGCTTGAAATCCCACAAAATCAAATAAAGTCTATTGATGCAAAATGATAAATATGGTGAGTATTGTGAGTATTTTTGGCTAAATAGTCATGAAAGATAAAAAAAAAAAAAGGGGTTTAAAGAACCATTCAGTTATATGTTAAAAGAGTATTCCCCTTCAAGAGTACAGAGAGGAAAACATATAGATGTCATTTCTAATGATGTGTGTCTATATAGCTGTTTTTTACTTATACAAATATCAATTATATGTAATTAAGCATTTGTTATATAGATAAGTACAGATTTTTTTTTTTTTGCAAGATCATGTTTAAAAATGTTTTCTCTGTCTTTGTTTCAGAACCATTAGAGCCCATAGTTACATAGAAAAATGATTGTAGAGGGTGAGATGCATTCCAATGCATCAGAGACGGTGAGATGATGAGAATGAAAATCTAAATAGTATTTAACATTCATCTCATCACATATTTCTACAACAAATCATCTCTCATTTACAATAGCTTCCATCTTTAAAGTATTCTTTGACATAGCTCCACTCTAAGCCTATAATATGCAATCATGGTAAAATAAAAGAAGAAAGTACTCCTTCTTTTGGCTCCAGGGTCTCACATGAAGAAATAAGACAATCTGGTCCTTAATTAATCTTTAAATAATTTAAAGTTACTCTTAAGTGCAGAAAAGCACACAGCAGATTCCACACTATGGAGGATGCCAGTAAGGAAAGTCATCACCAGTGACCTCAGCAACCAGAAACTGATCATGAGTTCATTTTACGACAGAGTAAAGTCCATCGATCTACAATAGAACAGATCGTTTTAATGTTGAAAACATCTTTCTAAGAGATCCACATCCCAGAAAGGTCAACCCCAAGTCAGGTCTTGCATACTCAGAGGAACACCTAGAAAAAAAACTCTATCTCAGACTCTATGGTAGAGGTCACAGATTAGCGGACTGCGGTCCGGATCTGGACCCACCTGCTGGACTCAAAAATAACAAACGGCCAATCAGGAAATCATCTATATACCAAACTGAACAATTGTTGTTCTCTAGTTCTAAAAACACTTCAGATTTTAAAATGGAAAATGTTCTATTTTTTTATTTTTTATTTTTATTTAAAAAGTCAATGTATAACATGGATGCATAAAAACATCATTTTATTTCAGTGTTAAATTCTGTTCAAGCAATAGATTATAATTAAAAATGTCTCTGGACCTTTACTGGTTGATGATTTTCTTTATTCGGAACTCACTGATTTTTAATTGGTTATCCCTGCTCTATAGGGTCAATTGTTTAAAGTATAAGAAAGATTAAAGAAACTCGTAGGAGACAGAATTCTCTCTCTCTAGCAGAATATAACAGCAACACAAAGATCTCTGAATGAACCTCAAGACTCCCAAAACAATGTACTGTGGACAGATTAGACTAAAGTGGTCCTACAGCACAGCACCGCGTTTAAGGCAAAACCAAACACAACAAAAACACCCTGACTGTCAAGCACAGTGGGGAGAGATGATGATGATGATTTGGGCTTGCTTTGTTGTCACACCACAACAAAGCAAGTCATTGAGTAAATAAGTAACAGATCTGTAAAACAAAATAATCTAGAATCAAATGTGAGGACATGTTAGGCTTGGACCAAACTGGGAAATTAACAGGTCAACGGTACCAAACATAGAATTAAATCTATTTCAGAATGGCTGAAAAAGGCAAAGATTTAGGGTGATCCAATGATCAATTTAAAGACCAGACACAAACCTTATCAAAGCAAAGCTGAGCAGAAATAAAATAAAATAAAATACACAAATGTCTAAGCATCTTAATGAACTGGGAAAACTTTGAGAGAGTGTAACACCTAATTTCTCCAAAAAATGTAAAAAACTGATTAAACACATTTTGATTCCTACTGATAAATGCAGATAAAAAAAAGAAAAAAAAAAAAACACAAAGAGGGTTAGCCTTCCTAGATTTTACTACAGAAAACTTGGAATCTGTGTGCTTTTTGAGATTATATTCAAGATTTATTTCAACCTAATGTTGGAAACCACTAAAAAGTTTGAATACATAACAGTTTTTGCCATGATTGTATATTGCCAATTATGTTACTTTGCAAGGAGTCATGTTTTTATTTCAGTTTTTAGTTTGGAAAAATAAATCCTGGGTCTACTGCTAGAGAAGGTCTTGTAAACCACAAATAGTCCAAAGGCAAAGAAAATAATCCCACTTGTATGTGTTCAAGATTTAACTTTTAAATGTGAGCTTTTGGTCAGAAAGAAAATAAAAAGAACAAAATAAACAGACAGGTTTAATGCTATTTAAGTAGTCTATTTTATTGTGGATCTGGGGATTTCTTATTTAGGATTATTTAAGTCCCATTAAGTCTAAGTCCCATTTAATCGCTGCTCTTTAAAAATGCTTCTTTTTAATAGTTTTTGTCTTTCATTACTCTCTGTGATATATTCCTCTGTGGCATTAGGAGGCCTCTATGTTTAGGCTTCACCTTAACCAGAGGATTTTACTGCTTCCAATGATCAGGGCAGAACTACTATGTTTAAACCTGCAGTTCATGTTGTACTCAGTAAGCTCTGGTGTAGCTCTTTCTGATTTAAAGTTCACATTAAAAAGTAAAAAGTTGCATTGATACAAGTCTGCAAAATGTTTTGCCTTTGAAAAAAAATGCTTGAAATTTGCATTTAAACTTCGTGGAGTTAACCAAATAAATTTCTTCATGGGTCTCTGTGAAATATCTTTTTGAAAGAAATTTTAAAACAAAAAAAGCATTTAAAGTTTGAACTTTTAAGCCTTAAAATAATTGGGATTTAATTTAAATTGTATGGGCCGGATTTATCAAGATCCAATTTTGCGTGCAGTAATTTGCGCTCGCAAACTGGAATTTTGCGCGAGGGGCTGAACCATGGTTTGCGGGTGATTTAACAAGAGCGATTGCGTAACTGGTGGCAGGTGCAAAACTGTTGGAGACGCCCTATTTAAATGATGGTTTTGCGCGTTTTGTGGTTTGCGGCAAAGTAGTTTGTAGTCTGTACAAACTAGTGCATTAAGAAATTTAAATCTTACAGTTACCCCCAACAAAAAAATAAATAAGTATATATATATATATATATATATATATACATATATATATATATATATATATATATATAAATTGGCAACCTTTATTCCCTAAGGTGGTATGTGCTGCAGTAAAAAAAAAACTAAAAAAAACAGGTGTTTTGTATTGGCCTGTGACTGTGGATGAGATCCCCGCAGCATTGGCATGTTGCTCCACAGGTGCAGGGGGAGAACCCCGACCCCGTCGGACAGCACTTCTGAAAAAACGAGATTGGGAGATCCCAGCTCTCGCTGCAACCGTACGCTGGAATGACCCAGATGCAAAAAAGTGCAATGTTGCAAGGAGTTTTGTGATATCTGGTATTGCGTGGGTCCTCCTTGTGGCTGGCTCCAAATCCATTCGGAGTTCCCCCAACAGCTCCAAAATGGCAATGCTGGATAAACGACATGTTTTGATGATCGTTTCCTCGTTCATTGCAAAAATATTCACACGGAGTGAAAAAATGCGTCCTCTGCGTCTCCTTGCTTCATTTCCATGTCTCCTTCTTGCGACAATAACCGCTGCCATGTGTGCGCAATTACGCATACAGACCATTTGCACCTTCTTTTGAAACGTGTTAAATATAGAGTCAGATACCGTTAGCAAAATTGCTTTCAGGTTTAATAAATCACTTTGCGAGTGCTAAATTAATATATTTACATGTTCTCCTCCCACAAGACGCACTTTTGCGTGTAAACGCCCCATATTGCATATTCATTGCAGAAAAAGTACTAAATGGATAAGAGGCGCTATTTAGCACGTTTTAAAGACCAAATCCTTTTAGCACGCTGTTGATAGATCAGTTTGTACATTTTTTAGCGTGCGCAGTGAAATAGCTCACGTTTTTATACACGCAAACCTTTGATAGATCCGGCCCTATTACTTTTAAATTTTCTTTTTGTTAAGCTAATTTGAAGTTTAGTTGATTATGACATTGTTGCTCCAGCTTTTAAAACATAGACAAAGATATTAAGCGGTATTTTAAAGTGTTTAAGTGATTTGAGTCAACAGTTTTATTCTGTTGCTGTTTCTTATGCTAATTATGCTAAACAGGAAGCGGTAAAACATTTTCATTTATTTAAAGATATTCCATATAAGTTCTGTTATAGACAAAGAAGTATATTAAATTGTCATTGTTATATTAATGTGTGTTGGTTTGAATTAGATTTTAGGTTAAAGTTTTTGCTCGACCTCTTGTATTTGAATCTAAGCTGAAATAACCATTTTAGCTTAGCGCTAACACCTAGCTGCTAGGTGTTGGAGGGAGTGTTTGCATGTTTTCTGAATAAAATGTAAAATTTTCAGTCATTTTGTACAAACATCTTGAGTGATTTTGCTTTCATTATGACATTTTCCAGAACATTCTTCCAGACATGGACCCTACATGGGCCACAACCATCCTCGTGGTTCCTTGTGTGGTGGTGCTAACAGCTGGATTTTTTTACCTTTATGGAGCAATTATCAATTTGCTGTCTAAAACATCGGTGCGGAATAAGGTGGTGGTTATAACGGATGCTTTATCTGGGCTTGGAAAAGGTAACACCTGAATAAAAAAATGTTGGGGTCTTTGAACACTTTTACTAGTTTTTGTGTCTGTTTATTTCTTGTGAGAAGAATGTGCAGCCGTCTTCCACAAGGGAGGAGCCAGGCTGATCCTCTGTGGGAAAAGCTGGGAGAAGCTTGAAGATCTTGCAGATGAACTGGCGAATGCTTCGGATCCTTCAGCTGTAAGCATGATCAGCCTGAAACTAGATGAAGCACAGCATGAATGATGCTGTAGTGAAAACAAACATCCAATATCCTCCCTCCGCCCTTTTTATAATTCTGGAGAGTAAGACATTATTTCATCTTTTCTATCATCTCCATCATTTTGTTTTGAAGAGAATATTTGTTGTTGTTCAGTGGTGAATGTGTCTAGTGCAACGGTCTTCAACGTTTTTAAGGCTAAGGCCCCCCAAACTGATGTCCAGATGGAGTGGGACCCCCTAATTATCAGTGGTAAAAGTTGAAGTATCAACTTGACCTCTTTACTCAAGTAAAAGTTAAAAAGTATGTGCTCCAACAACTGCTTAAAGTTTAAAAGGATAAACTAACCTTTAAAAAAACAGCCAGAGGCCACTATATGAATGGAGAGCTCAATTTTTCAATATTTCTAAAAATTCTTTCAGATAGGGCCAAGGATGAGGGAGGTCTTGTTGGTCTCCGTCTCCCGATACGCTCTCGCCTGTGTCCGACCTTTCAGACATTTCAACATCTTTTTCTGAATCCCACATTGTAGCATGGCATAGACAATTCACGTTAGCAGTTTGATTTCCTTTAGCTAACCAATGAGTGTTTGCGTTCTATGACTCATCCAATTACACTAGATGAATGCGCCAATGATCTGCATTGGATGGCGCACATGATGTGAAATAAATATTTATTAACATTAAACCAAAGCCAAGAGTAACGGGTAACGTTTGCTTTAAAAATGTAAGGAATAGAAAGTACAGATACTTGTAAATAATGGAATAAAGTATAGATACCTAAAAAGTGTAATTAAGTACAGTAACAAAGTATTTTTACTTCGTTACTTGACACCTCTGCTAGTTATATATATTGTATGAAATTGTGTTTTATCAAACTGGTCCTATAGTCACTCTATTACAGATGGAGTCATCTAATGAAAATAATTTTGTTAAAGTAATTTATTAAAGTTGTTAGGTTCAAAAATGTAGGTTCGTAAAAGAAGGACTGAGTTCACACAGAAAGGGTTTCTTAAACAGCTTCTGCAGAAGGGGAAAGAGCCAAACCCAACACTCCAACTCTCTCTCTCTGACCCTCCTCCTGCAGTGCCTTATTTATTAACAGAACATAACACATGGTTACAAAACAGAGTATTGTTCTGAAAGGACGATTGATTAGGTCATAAGACAGGATGCTCTACTGACTGAATCACAAGGCAGAGTGAAGCATCTCCTTGCATCAATGTTTATATGTACACACATTAATTTAATAATCATCATTGAATAAACCTAACAAAAGTATTTCTGATTCAGATTCCTGGTTGATGGGACAGGTGTTGTGAATGAAACGGTGCCCAGCTTGAAAGAGCTCCTGTGTGTCGCTAAATGTGAGCATTGATGATTGAAAGACATCTTCTGCCTCCATTGATCTGTTTACTACAGTCTGTTGAATTCATGTTCATGTGGATTTAAAGACATTTCAATTAGTAGGAAAAATTACAGGGGGGAATTTTAAAAAAGTCTAATCGACCAAAACTTTTGCAACCCCCATCCAGCACCTCCGTGGACCTCATGTAGTTTGGTTGTGGTACAGTTGATTGGAAGCACTCAGTTAAAAGTATAGAGAACAATCTTTTATTTACTGGTGGATCATCTAAATAAGTGGTCCTCCTAACTGTCTATTATTCTGGTGATATGTTTACGTAAGGCCGTCCTACATGCTTGTCCCGTTAGCTATCTTTTTGAGCGCATGCGCACTTTCAGGCATATATCTGTGGTGAGCTACGGTTTCAGACAGTCATTGAAGCTCACCTTTCTCACTGCGGTTCTTTGAAAATGGTCAAGGGTCATAACAGAAAAGGTGTCTATGAAGTGTATGAGAAGAAAAGAAAGGCCTCAGAAGAGGCAGATATATCCCAGAATACTTTGCGTGGAGAGCTTTACTTGCAAAGCATTAAGGGATTTGCTGTTTACAGCAGCCCACTGTCACCATAGGCTGTCGCTACCCGACAGCGGAGAATAGTAGCAAAGATGCCGCATGCACCGCTCAGTGGAGGAGAAGTTACGTAAAAACAGAACAAAAAGTAGTGATCATCTGTCCGAACTGCCAGTTAACTGAGTTTGCTATAAAGTTCTCTATATAGTCCCTGCTTGATATATTGATTAAGGGATTTAGGGGTTAGGATGGACAATAAGCGTGTATAAGCTATGAAAACAGCAACTTTTAAACAGAGTGTGCACAAGGAGAAACAGGCTTTAAAGTGGAAAGGGCAGGTCTTTTAAGAAATTTGCAAAAATCCTCCACAATACCTTTAGGCTTCAAATACCTACAATACATTACAGCTAAAATTCTACTTTAAAATACTGCACTTATGGTAAAATGAATGTAAAAGCAGTTTTTCATATGGGGGTTATAAAAAAGAGCCTAATTCAGGATTTATTACCTTAGGAAAAATAGCTGAAAGTCAGCTCCTCATATTTACTGCCTTTCTCAGACGTTCCCACCAAAAATTGTGCTGCTTGACTTTGGGGACATGGACAGCATGGCGGAGGCCATCGCTGAGATACTGGAGTGCTACGGCTGCTTGGACGTGCTCATCTTTAACAGCAGCATGAAGGTCAAAGCTCCAGCACAGAGTCTGTCTCTGGAGATGGATAAGCTTCTAATGGACAACAACTACTTTGGTCCCATCACTTTGGCCAAAGGTAGCCGATTGGAGCATGTTAAACTTTTTTCATTTATTTTGTTGGATATGATAATGTAACAGTGACGGTGGTACCTCTGTTTTTAGGTGTGCTGCCCTCCATGATCTCCAGGAGAAGTGGTCATCTGCTGCTGGTTAACAGCATCCAGGGGAAAATTGCTGTGCCTTTCCGCACTGCATGTGAGTTTGGAAGGAATAAAAGTACAATTAAATAGTTAACCAAGAGATCGGTTTCCATGATAATAGTGGGGCAGACAGAGCACCAGAACGGGGAAGAGGCGGCGGCTGGCTATTGGAGGTAGGACGATAAAACAGTCCTTCTAGGGCTAAATTAAAACAGCTTTTTTAAAATTTATTTCTATCACCGGATTACACAGTCAAATTGATTCAAAGTTTTCTATCTAAGGAAAACCAGTTGATTGCATTAACTCGGAAGCAATCCCTCACACAAAGCATGCTTGTAGCAACAGTGGAGAGGAAAAACTCCCTTTGAAAAGGAAGAAACCTCCAGCAGAACAAGACTTGGTCTGAGCGGCCATCTGCTGAGGCCCACTGGGGTTCAAGGAGACAGAAGCAGACATAGAAAAAGAAGCATAGATACAAAAGGCAACTGTCAACCATCTCCACAGGCGGCCCTGTCCAGGAAACACACAGCCAGGCAGACGAGCTCCGAGCCAGCTCCCATGTCAGAGGATGAAGAGAGCACATCCATTTAGTCACAGTCAGAGAAACAGGACTACACTAAAAAAACAGGCTGATCTGGAACATTTATAAACAAAGGTGTTAATGTCTCTCCAGGATGGAGTCACAGCCAAACAGGAAAAGACGAGGTGAAGCTACTATGAGAAAAAGCAGAGAGAGCAGAACGTTAGAGATTGAACTAAGAAATTCTGCAGAATTTGAGAATAGAGATGGAATGAAGCAGAATGATGAAAAAGTAGTCCCTATGTCCTCCAGCAGTCTAAGGCTATAGCAGCATAACTATAGAGTAGGGCTGGGTACCGAACTTCGGTACTTTTATGGTACCGACCGAAATGCTTCGGTTCTACAGAGTATCGAAACATGCCTCGTCTTTCGGTACCAAGTTTCGGTGATTGGCTGTAACACTTAAGGTGATTGCGTCATCCAGGAAAAATACACAGGTGGTCCCGCCTACAGCCAGGGTTCATGTGAACTGGTTGTGAGCGTCGCGGAACCCCTTTAAAATGCCCCCCAGGTCAAACGTGCGGCTTCACTTTATTAAGACTGATGCTAATAGTGCGCAATGCAATACATCGTGCACGGAAATAATTTAAGAGCAGAAAGTCGCTCGGTGTTTGACTGCAAGAAGAGCGGACCACAGCCAGCGCGACCATCCTCCTCTCAGCAGCCCGTGGGCAGAGCAAAGCCAGAGCGGAGTGAATAATGCGAGACACTCATGGAGAATGCTGCTTTCAAACCGGACGCAGCAGGGCCAGCAAAATCACGTCTGCTGCTTCTTTTTTGCTGCTTGTACCAGCTTCTGACGCACGGCTGAAGAAGCTTTGCTGCTCTGGCTGCGTGGTCGAAAAGTGGGTCTGACGCGCGTTGGGCGGAGCTACTCTATCCTTTATTTGCCTTGCAGCTATATTTGCTGTGATCAGTGGAAATAAAGTAGTTTTATTATGTTTTTAAGTGGGAAAATCCACCTGAAAACTTAATCGGTGCAGTCAGTTCATCCGGCCTTCCAATATTTCTGTCGGAGCCACTCAGACCCCCACATCCCAGCGGTGCGCTGTCAGTAGGATCCCATTCAACGGGCTTGTATGTCAGACATGGTCATTTTTCTAAAGGAAAACTGCTAAGTAAAAAGGTCCTCACAATCTAACAGTGAATATTAGACACTGAATTTTTTTTTTTTTATGTAAGAGGAAAAATGTAAATGGAAAAATCAGAGCTTAAACAAAACTCAAGATTTTTACTTTTTTATGTTGTGTAATTTTCTTTTTTTTCTCGAATTGATATTATAAAACTGGTATCGAAAAAAGTATCGTTCAGGAACCGGTATCGAAGTGAAGGTATCGGTATTGGTACCGGAACCGAAAATTTTTTAACAATACCCAGCCCTACTATAGAGATAGAACAGGATAAGCTGAACCAAGTAATAAAAACTTGTGAAAACACCTTAAGACGGTATTGAGACAGATGTTGCAGAACTACATTTACACAGTAACTAGAGGAAGCTTGCTGAAACTGCTACAGAAGATGGTTTAGCAATGCATTAATTTGAGTCTGCACACTTATACAACAGCTACTACTTTTTTTTATTTATTTTTTTTACATATTTGGTTGTCAGTTGAGTTGTAAAGACCAGATGTCACATTCAAAGTGGAAAATTTGACCTTGTTTGAAAGGTCTACCATTTTAAAGAGATGCTTGTACATTTCAGAAACACTGCATCTACTGCCTGTCTGCATATGAGTCACATCATGTCAGACTTTGTTTGTAGGGACTAAGCTTTTTGTGCCTGCAATCATTTCATTAAGAAGTTGGACTGTTGTGTTCCAGATGCAGCTTCCAAACATGCAGTTCAGGCTTTCTTTGACTGCCTGAGATCTGAGGTGGAAGAGTTCGGCATCTCCGTCAGCACCATAAATCACACCTTCATCAGCTGCTCTGCGTCCCAAACAACGGAGGCGGCAACCTCAAAGTCCCTGCTTTGGTCCCGTGAGTAGAATCTGAGGTTTGATCCCAGACGCTATTAAGTTGGTTCTGTGAAGTTTAAAGGCTTAAATATCACTTTGCAGTGTTGTTCACCCGGAAGCCACGTGGTGTTTCTCCAGACGAGGCCACCACTGAGATTGTAAGGACCTTGAACAACAAGAGGAAAGAAGTTCTAATTGCTCCCTCGCTTCCAAAGATGGCCATCTACGCCAGGTCCTTTTTCCCTAACATGTTTTTCGCTGTGATGGCCGCAGGAGTGAAAAACTCTGCTGCCTCTGAGAACATGTAAAGATCCCTCTATGATGTCATGGCAGTTATCACAGAATGTTTTATGACCACAGCTCACATTAAACTATTAATCTCAAAATAAAATGACTGAAGCAACTCCAAAGAACCTCTTGGCCAAAAAGCCCAGAATAGTTCTGTCATCCTGTCTCTTTTTCAGACACTGTTGTTGTGATTCTATAGTTAAATTCTATTCCCAGCCCGCTGGGAATTTATGTTTCTGATACTTTAAGATGTTTATTGCCCTCCCCTGTAGGGGTGGTAAAATATCTTATTTAATCAGGTAGTATTTCAGCTGTTATATACTGTTTATGACACACAGTCCTACAAACTGTGTGTTAGAACAATAAATGAAAGAGTGATTCGAGCACTAATCATGGTCAAACAGTTATTTCTGCACATACATGGAATAAATTCACCACAACTTCTGTTCAAAATATGAGTTTATTAACAAAAATCATTCAGCTCCAAGTCAAACATATTTCAGTTTAACACTCTCAACTAAGACTAGTAAAACTCAACTAAACTAAACTAACTACTATGTACAAAGAGGAAGGGGAAAACGGTTGAAAAACATATTACAGTTTAAGATGGATTCTGTGTTTGAAACCAAAGTTTATCTGGAAGAATTTGGGATATGATCAAATTAGCTTTTCACTAATTTGAAAGAAATTGGAATGTTTTCAGACCAATTCACAATGCAAATCCATGAGGTGAATAAAACATTATTTGGCCAAATAATGTTTTATTAAATGATTTGCTTAATCAAGAACCAAAAACCTTTAGTTAAATGATTCTTTACCCTCTTTGAAATAGCTAGCAGCGAATAGACATCATGTTTCCACTAAATGACTCTTGGTCATACTTGGCAATGGAAATGTAATGAGCATCTGAAGAACACATGAACACTAATGTTATACCAGTGTTTAAATCCTTAGTGAATAAAGCTTGTCTAAGCTTTAGCAACAGCTCAACATATATTCCTGTAGCATAGCGTAGCATGCAGTCCATTCTTTAGCATCAATTAGTGTTGTCTTTACTCAGCAGTAAACACACAATATGAATAGCATCATCAAAAGACATATTGTTTTTCCTGTCCCTAATCATGCCAGACCTGCAAACCTTTTTCCATGTCCGTTTGGAAAGCTTGAGTTTCATCCAGTTTTGCAGCTCTGCAGTCAGGGGTTCTTTGTCTCAGTCTCACACCAGGGCATGCTCCTCATCCAGTTTGGCTCTGTAAGTTCTGAAACTCAAGAGAAATGTGTTGCAAAGGTTTTGTTTGCAGCAGTTAGGTTCTGAAGAGTTCTGACTCATCCTTGATGGTTCTGGGGATCTGGTTTCCCTGGGGCCTGCATCTCCACTGTGGGCCACAGTGGGCCCCAGCTTTGAGCGCAGGAGCAGAAGCAGGCTGGATCAGACGAGGGAGAAAGAGAGAAGAGGCAAAAAAAAAAAAATCCTGTGTGCTCTGTGGTTTTGTTCTGTCCTCACAGGGAGGGGGGTAGGTTTTCACACCTCTGTGACTTCCATGTGACTGCTTGTGGCTGCTTTGGCTGAAAAAGGGGGGCTGCTGAAGTCCCCCAGCTGTTATTCACCAAAGCTGCGTTTTCTTCTCTGGTCATCCTATCAGGATGAAATATGGACACTGCTTCCCAATGTCCAAAAAGTATGATCATGGCTTATTGGCATAACAGTCCCCCCTTTGATCTGGAAATAAAAGATGCAGTTCTTTGTTTTCAGATCACAAATAGGTCCATAAAGCCATGATATCTGGAGCGGTGATGAGTCAGGTTCCTGTTGGCAGGAAGAAAGTTCATTTAGGGTTTGTATCTTCTCCAGTGTTTGTCCCTGGAGGATTTGTTGCAGGTCTGGCAGAAGCTGACCCTATCTTATCATAAAACAGCTCATTTTCTCCAGAGGTTTTGCGTCTGGTTGAAGCAGGTCTGGCAGGAAAGTCTGACCCTGATACACAAATATATACATTCCAAACAAAATTTCCTAACACCTTCATGATGCTGTTGTTCAACCTTCATCATTTCTCAAGTTGTGAAACAAAAGAAAGAAAGGATAAAACAGGTTAAAGTATGTTAGAAATGATCAGGAACTATCATATTCTTGGATATGATAAGTTTTACCATTAGCTTGGAATTGTAGTACTTTGTGATTGGTCAGAGAAGCCAGTAGCTCTGTGAGAACTGTTTTGCAGATCTGTTCTAAGTTTTCTTTTGTGGTTGTTTCTGTAGCTTGTTGATACCCCCCTTTACCAGTGTAAACCTTTGGTTTTGCATTGTGATGTGAAGGCTTATGACCTTCATCTTGGTGAACCACTGGGGAACTGAATCTGTGTCTGTTTCTGGTCCTGTTCTTTGTTTGAAGGTTAGAGGCTCTAAGCTTGCTTTGAAATCTATCTGATTTGAGACGTATTTCCCAAATAAGCTGAGCATGTCTGCGAGTTTCCTGCATAGAAAGGTTCTCTATCCTGCAATGCATTGCTACATCATATCGTACACTTTCATGAAGATTTTGGATGAACAATGCTTTAAATGTGGGATCTTCTTCGTCAATATCTGGAGAACTGCAGCCCTCAAAATAAACCTGTCTCAAGCGAAAGTAATATTCTCTGGGTGTTTCATGTTCTCCTTGGAGAACTAAAGATGCCTCAAGCGTTGCTAACGCCGGATCTCTGTAACCAGAATATTCTTCTCTTAATGTTTGACAAAGAGCTGAATAACTTTCTCTGATTTTTGGAGGAAGAGATTTTATGAAAACATGGATGCTTCTAGCTGTTGTTTTCCAAATCAACTTCAATTTCTCACGAGAAGAAGGAAATGGCAAGTCTTTTAGACAGTGCTCAACTTCTTGCAGATAATCAGCTATGTTGGAGTGTTGATTTTCTGGGTCAAAAATATCAATGTCTTTGGCCAAGGATTCAATTTGTTGAATTCTATGGTCACTCGGTGGACCTGGCCTGTCAGGAAGCTGGTTCTGCTCATTAAGTGGTGGGGGGGTTTCAGCTAACCTTTGATGACACAAGGGAGACTGGTTCTCCTCAGAGTTTTTCAAGCTGTGAACTTTGGCACTTGGTGCTCGGTCAGCGGAGTGTGAGACAGAGATTGGTTTGCATGGCTGTCCTTTGCAAAATTTTAAACTGCTTGAGTTTACCAAGTGATCTACTTGTTTCTCTCTGTCTGCGACACTACTTTGACTTTGAACATCTTCAGATCTATTTAGTGTTAACTCAGAGTTTAGAGACTTTTTACCTGCTTCAGGAACTGTTCTCCTTTTGACTGGGGTGACCTCCTGCTGATTCAAAGTCTGCTTGCTTTGTTTATTGCATAGCTCCTCAGAGAGGGGGGTCACTGTTTGTTCTGAGGCATGGTCAGTCTGGCCACATGGGTCTTTGATCTTGTCAGCTCCTGACAATAAAATGTTTGCAGCACTTACTCTGTGGCAGATCATCTGATATTTGGCTTCTAACTCAGAGTACTGTTTAGCTTTTATTTGGGATTTAAGCTGATAAAGAAGCGTGAGCTCACAGAGTACATCTGTTATCAGAAAGTTTCCATTTGGGTTTTGAATTAAATTAATTAATTCTTGAATCTTTTCTTCACATAGGCTGAGGTTAAAATTGTTTAGGTTATCCTGCTTTTCTGGAGATAAGTGGATAAGCTTTGCAACAATTTGTTTCTGTTTCTCTATGCCTATGGAGTCAATTATGTGCCCAGAATTGAGGATGCTTGGATCCATTTTCAGCTGATGGCACAAAAACACAAGTTATGAAGAAATTTCAAAAGAACACAATCCAGTCAATACCCACTATACTTGTATATTTACATATACATATTGTAAGGACTTATTTTTATGTGTGTAGAAACGGGTCATCTTTAAACCTGTGATATCAAAGAAACACTTTTCTTTCAGTGTTAGAAATGCTACACCTTGTTTAGGATTTACCAGCTATTTTAGCGCATGCTTTACCTGTCTCTGAGGATTTCTAAGCAGTGTGGCGCAAAGCTTACCTTTTAAGGACTTACAAGCAATTTAGCTTATGATTCACCCTTTTCTGTGATATCAAAGAAACACTTTTCTTTCAGTGTTAAAAAATGCTATACCTTGTTTTAGGATTTACTAGCTATTTTAGCGCATGCTTTACCTGTCTCTGAGGATTTATAAGCAGTTTGGCGCAAAGCTTACCTTTTTAAGGATTTACTGGCAAATTAGCTTATGATTCACCTTTCTTTAAGGTATTTTAAGCAATTTAATTTGAATCCACCCCCTTTCGATTGGGTAGGACCACAGATTAACTTACGTTAAATCTGGCAATAAATCTTTTTCTACACAATATAAAATAAGTGTTTAGGAGTCTTATCAGACAAATAGACAAAGGGATTTAGGTTAAATTTCGAGGCATCTAACCTATTTTGGACTGGAGGTGACTTTGAAATAGCACAACTTGGGAATTTTCATTTTTGGGATGTGGTTATAGAAACCACAAATGGCAGCATCTAGTTATAGATGTGCATACATTTTGGTCGACAAAATCAAATTAAATCTTTTAGTTTTAGTTGGACCGAAGTGATCAGATTGATTTGAATCATCTGAGTTTTGCTTTGAAGTAAAGTTGGTTATCACTAGCTGGAGAGATATTTTGGAGTTATTAGATGTTGTTACATTTTCTATATTTTGATGCTCCAATAATGTCAAAGGTTATATTTTCTTCTCATATAAGCTAAGACATTTTGTATTGGATTCTTAGGTTGTGACTTTAAGATTTCATTATTGAGTGGTGAGAGCTGATGTTAATGCTTTCACACAGTTTTCAATAATGGCTCTAAGTTTATTCTCATATATGTGCAGAATGACTGTTATATTCGATGACCACCAAACTGAGACACCAATTAAATGTTACATTCAATGAGCCCAGTAGCATGGGACGCTAAATAAATGTTACACTTAATGGGCCCAGCAATCAGGGACGCCATATTTATGTTGTGATTCTATAGTTAAATTCTATTCCCAGCCCGCTGGGAATTTATGTTTCTGATACTTTAAGATGTTTATTGCCCTCCCCTGTAGGGGTGGTAAAATATCTTATTTAATCAGGTAGTA